CTCGAAGCCACCCCAGGACACAGGTGCCTTTTCGTTCTTGGGGCGTTTCTGGCGGTTTCCAGCGCATGCAAAGCCTCGTTGGGCGTCTCGGCGCTGCCGTGGCCGGTCGACGGCTCCTCTGTCGTGATCCTTTCCGGAAGAGCACGGCGAGTGTGGCTGGTGCCACCGTGGCTGCACATTCCTGGCTTTGGGAAGGGGAAATACACAAAACTCTTCTGCCTCTTGCCTGATTTTGTCACTCTACGGACGATGTTACTGAGTGTTTTTCACACCCAGGAGCTCGTGTAACTTTTTCTGACGCTTTCTCTGCAGATCCTGTCTCTGGGCGCTGGCTTCGACTCCTTATACTTCCGTTTGAAGGATGTGGGTCTCCTGCGTCACGCAGCAGTGTACGAGGTGGATTTTCCAGATGTGGCGCGCCAAAAAGCTGCTCTCATCAGAAGGATGAAGGAGTTGTCGGCGCTGGTGGGAGACACTGGAGGGGAAGCATTAGGTACGATATTTGCAGAATGTTTCCTAGAGGCTAAAAGTTTAGAAGAGGCAAACGTAGCTTCAGCCTTTAATAAGTGCGATATGACAAAAAGCGAGTTCATTTTCTGCAAAAACTGGGGAAGAGATGAAAAACTGGGAAGTGTTGGGAGATGAGGAGAAGATGCAGAGCTGCCGGGGTGGATTTGTCAGGAGTGGATGATCCCAAACCAAGTTCAGTTCCGTCCTGTTTCAGTTTCGGAGGTGCCGTGCCCAGCTTCAGGCTTGCTGGCGCAAACTGCAGCATGGCCTGGCCAGCGAGAGGTCGTGAGGAGGATGGAGTGGTGGGACACGTGGGGTGGGAGGGGGACCGGGAGAGCTGGGCTTGTTCAGCCTTCCCAAGAGGAGGTCGGGAGGGAGAGAGGTGAGTCCTGCTGCAGTTCTTCAGCTGCCTGGTGGGAGAGGGAAGGTCACAGACTCACTGAGGTTGGAACAAGACCTCTAAGATCATGAAGGCCGACCGAGACCATCAAGCCCAACGGATGGAGCCAGACGTTTCCTGCAGGCACAAAGCAAACAGGGGACAATGGTTGCAAGCTGCAACAAAGGAGATTTCAATTACGTGTAACCAAGAGGGTTTTTGCTCAGAAAGGTGGTGGCATCTCCAGCCTTGGAGGTAGTTAGAGCTTGGCTGGATGGAGCCTTGAGGAACCTGGTGCAGGTGGCTGCAAGGAGTTGGATGAAGTGACCTTCAGAGGCCCCTTTCAGCCCAAGTTGTACTGTGATTTATGGGCAGTAAATCAATAAAACAATTGCTCATTTACCTGACTTTTTTTTTCCCTATTCCGAGGCAGGAAAATACGAGCCTTAGGAAGCTACTGTAGAATATGTGCAGAGCTGAAAGGATTGTTCTGCTGGTCAGGTGCAAAAGGGGGCAGTTCGTGGAGGTTTCTCCAGCACCTGATTTCCTTCAGGGTTTCCAACAATGTTCTAGATGCTGTAGAAGGTGAAAATGCCACAAATCTGAGGGAACAGGGCGAGCTGCAGCACAGTGGAGGAGAGTAGGATTTTGGGAAAGTACATGGATTGTCTGGAAGGCGTGGGATGACACACAATAGGGATGTAGTAAGTTGATCAAATAATCAGTGTAAATACAGATGGAAGAGAGCTGCAGAGCTGGGTGCGGAGCACAGGGTTTGTTGTGGTCGTGCTTGCAGGTCGTAAACTGGGACTCACTTCTGGGAGCGGTGATCAGCGGGGCTAGCGCTGGTGTTTGCAGAGAGCTGGCGGGTGCTGGCGCAGGACTCAGCGCTGTTTTACAGAAGTGATATCTAAAAAAAAACCAAACAAAGAAGCCCCTGAAAATTTGAGAATGGTTTTATGGTTGTGAGCAAACCATTGGGATTCTGTGAGGTCTCACCACCCTCACAGCGAAGAATTTCTTCCTGATGTCTAATCTAAGTCTCCCCCCTTTCAGTCTGTAACCTCTACCCCTCGTCCCATCGTTCATTTAGTTCAGCCTGGCCGTTGTCTTGTGCGTGTCCCAAAGAAATGGAGTTGATAGGCACAGCCTGGGGGGGTTGATTGTCCTGTTTGTCCCTTCTGGTGTCAGTATTGCAGCGGCACCGTAGTGAGATTGGATCCTTTCTGTCTCCTAGGAGCCGTTACCTTGTCGGGAGAGGATTATAAGTTACTGGGAGTGGATTTGTCAGAGCTTTGTGAGCTGGAGAGAGCCCTGGAGGCTGCAGGACTGGACAAGGAAGTCCCCACCCTCTTCCTGGCGGAGGTGGTGCTCACCTACATGGAGCCTGGCCGGTCAGTTGGGGTGTCCTGTGTTAGCCTGGCAGTGACATGAGAGGGAAAGGAAAGCCGTGCTGTATGTACATCACCCGGGGCTGGGAGACCTCCCGTCCTGTGAGGAAAGCCTCAGGATTTCCCTGGAAGTCCCAGCCAGCTCCGTATGTCATCGTTGTCGTGGGGTAATTGATGTCCGTGTGGGAGTGGAAAATGAAGGAAACCTCGAACGAGTGATGCCCAGTTTCTCGTTGTTCTCCTCCCCTGAATTCCCTGCACGGAAGAGACAGGAGATTTTTGAGTGCCCAGCACAGGGTTCTCTGTGTTGGGATCCCTCTGTCGGGATTGCAGCACGCGCTCCGGCATTGCAGGAAGATAACTCGCGTCCGTCGTGGGCTGCCCAGGCGCTCAGGTATTCAATTCCTCCACCTGCAGGTCCGACGCCGTGATCCAGTGGGCGGCCCAGCGCTTCCCTCGGGCGTGCTTCCTTCTCTACGAGCAGATGCACCCCCAGGACCCCTTCGGCCGCGTGATGCAGCAGCACTTCAGCCGGCTGAGCTCCGCGCTGCGCTCGCTGGCGCGGTACCCGGACGGCGAGGCACAGCAGAGGCGCTTCCTGGAAAAGGCGAGTGTCTGCAGCTCTTGAGGCTCGTGCTTCAAGCTCGGCTCTGGAAGCACACGGAGTGTGATTTACCTGGGAGGGATCGTCCCGTTGAATGATTTGGGAGGTCATGGGCTGTTTGGGTTGAAGCAAGCAGGGCCAAGGTGGAGACGCTGCCTTCTCTAGCAGCTTGACTATTCAGCCTGCTTGGTGTGGGATTAAGGCAAGATGGGTTCCTCTGAGGCTTTTGGTGCAATAAATGAAGTTCTTAAGAGCTTTCCAGGTGGGAGATCTATCCTCAGCAGATCCTGCCGTAGTTCCAGCTAGATGATCTTGAAGGCCCATGGAGGTGTTTAATTTAGGGCCTTTGTTTTCTTGCAAGAAGAGAGTCTCTGTCCTTCCAGAGGTCAGAATTTTGAGGGATTTCTCTTGCAGGGCTGGACCGAGTGCAGTGTCATGGATATGAACGAGTTTTTCACCCGCTGCACTCCAGAAGAGGAGCAGAGAAGAGTGCAAGCTCTGGAGCCTTTCGATGAGTATGAGGTAACCCTCCGTGATTCTCAACACCGGAGAGAAGGTGTCGGCAGCTCCTTGCGGTCAGAGCTCTGTGCACGAGCTGCTGAGGCAGAGGTGTCCCTGTAGGGAGAACGGGTCCTGGTTAACGTGGAGCCCACGGGAGGAAGACCCTGGTGTCAGCAAAGCTTGTTCCTCCACAGCGAGTGGTGTCTCAGGGCGACGGTCGTCACACAGGGAGCGCGCTGGTGCCACTGAGGATGTTGTAGATGCTAAAAGCCGGCTCCAGGGACAATTGTTTTAAGGAGGATTGCTTAACACGTAAATCTAGACCTGCTGTGAGGTTCCTGGCTGCAGATGGTTGGGAGCTCTCCTGGGAGAAGGAGATGCGCTGGTCCCGCTCTCTTGCATTTCCATTTGTCTTGTCACTGTTGAGTTTTTTGATCGGACCCTGTACAGCTGTTCCTGTATAAACCATTGAAATTTAACTGCTCTGCCGTTTCTGTGAACTGCTGGCAAAGTTTGTGACTATTTGAAGTCTAGAACAGAAGTCAAAGTGTCACTTTGAGATAAATATCCTTCAGGACATTGACTGGAAGCTTCCCCTTGTGATTTTATGGTTCTCTGTAGTTCTGTCTAGAAATCTTAACAGCGTGGAAACAGTTTAATGCTCTTGCATTTATTTTGCCGACGTGCAGGATCTGCTGTGTGAGTGCAGGAGCGGTGACACAGAGATGCCGGTCGATTGTCAGGTGGGGTAGGAGCGTCTGCAGGACTTTAGATCGAGGCGATTGCTCATACAGTGAGAAAGTAAAGACCTTTTTCATTTTCTTTATAGAGGAAAGAGCAAGCGCAAGCTGAAAAACATACAGAGGAGTGAGATGTGTGAGAACAGCGAGCTCTGTGTTTAGCCTTTGAGATAAAGCAAGATCCAGGTGTTACTGCCAACGAGCTCAATCGGATGACACAAGAGATGTGAAATACGCGCTTAGTGCTCAGGGCAGCTAATTTTTAGAGTAATTTGCCTGGGGACAAATAGTGGATTCTCCCATTCTCAGTATTGACGTTCATTTTTGTATGTCACTCTTCAAAAAAAAAACCTTTTTACTTCTTGTGGAAGTTGGGGTGACGATGCTCATACTGTGGTTTCTCGTGCCTTTTAAATTCCTATTTATGCCTTCAAGTCGTGGCTGGATGTATCCCGCCCCGTGAGGGCGAACGCACTCAGCTCCCTAATGTCTGTGGGAGCCAGGGCAGGCTCTGGAGTCGCTGCTGACTCCTCTGCAGCCCTCCTGCCTGTGCTTCTGCCCCCGAGTGATTCCAGACACGATTTCCAGGCTGGGAAACGTATTTGTGTGTTACCAGCCAGCAGAGGCCGCGTCGCACCTTTGGGCATCTGTGATTTCTTTGCCATCACTTTTGTTCCATGAGCTTTAAGAAAGCCGAGTCCCGCGGGTGTACAGCCCTCACCCCTTTTGTGGTCGCAGCTGGGCAGCATAAAGGGAGGCTGGTGCAGAAAAAACTAAAAATTCCTCGTGCGAGGTGTAGTTGGGCTGTGAGACTCCTGCCCCGGCGTGTCCCTGGTGAGGGAGTTAACGTGAGTGCAAAGAGCAGCTGGGGGGTCTCATGGAGGAGAGACCCATCAAGGAGTGTTCAGTAGGAGAGACGGCTTCCTCCTCAGAAAACCCCCGAGCTGTAAGTTCTTGAAGGTTGGGGTAAGGAGGTTT